GTGCTGCCTGGGGATGCGAAACCATAGCCCCATGGAAAGGCAACTCTGACCCTTACATATTAGTTGTAAGACTGCCCTCCACTTCCCCCTGTACACAACCCAAAACCTGCAATCCACTATGGCTTATCATCACCCTGTGGGACAACTTTTAGCCTTCAAAAAACATGGGACACTGGAAAAACATGGGGCCTTCGACTGTACACGCCTAGAACCAATCCAGGCATGTAATTTACAGTCTAACAAAGGCCTATTTCACATACTCCCAATCCTGTGGGACCATTGTGCAAAATAATTCTACCCAAACCTATACCCACGGACTCAAAAATTCAACTCATAACTTCTCCCCCTCTCACCCCAAAGGGGATAACAATCATCTCACCCACTTAAAAGGCGCCTGATCGCTTCCTTCACTTACTAACTGCGGTACACCATCTACTTAATAAAACCCGTCCCTCTCTGGCAAAAGATTGCTGGCTATGCTTAAACCCACGGCCCCCATATTACGTGGGAGTTGGAGCAGTTTCCTCTGTAGGCAATGAGGAAACTAACATAAAGATACTTACTCTTACTGATATACAGAATGAGCAATTATGTCCCTGGGGCACTCATCCCACACTGACGCTAGATGACCTCCAGGGACAAGGAACATGTCTCTTCTCCCCAACCTTTCCCATAACTACATCCCCCCTCCGATTGTCCTGCAACAACACCTCTCATATTAACATCACTACCTTCCATAATCAAACCATCCCCCATTTCGCCGTGGCACCCCCTACCATGTGGTTTGCCTGTACCTGAGGAATCACCCCCTGTATCAGCCTACAGCATCTCAAAGACACAACAGAATTGTGCACTTGGTCCACATCCTACCCCAGGTCTACATTTATAAAGGAATGGAAGGTAGATAACACCTCAAACTAACACCACCCACTCTAGACGGGAACTATTAGTTCCTTTACTAATGGGACTAGGCATTGCTGGAGCTACAGCCATAGGCATGGCCTCCTTAATTCTGGGCGATCAAAATCTTAAACAGCTTAGCATTCAAATTGACACTGATTTACACCTACTAGAATCAAGTGTGTCTCAATTACAACAACAGCTTGACTCTCTTGCTGAGGTAGTATTACAGAATAGATGAGGCCTAGACCTCCTTTTCCTAAAAAAAGGAGGGTTGTGCATAACTCTAGGAGAAGCCTGCTGTTTTTATGCCAACAAATCAGGGATAATAAGAGAAACTCTAGCGCAAATAAGGGACAATATACAACACCAGGAATCGCAAAACCAGGCCTATGGCAACTGGTATCAAACCCTCTTCTCATGGCCCCCCTGGCTCACCACCCTAGTCTCGGCAATAGCCGGTCCAGTAATCCTCCTCCTATTGGCTGTAACCCTAGGGCCATGCATCATCAAATATCTCCTTACCTACATGAAGACTACTGTCTCAAACTTTTCAAATCAAAGCCTTAACCTCCTGTTGCTCGATAGCTACCAACCTGTTCCTGTAGAAAATCCAGAACTATAACAACCAAATTTTCATCTAGTTTTTTCTTTTAGATATACTCTCTTCCAGGTTTTCTGTCTACCTCCACAGTCTGCTCTAGGACAGCTGGTTACTACCATCCCTGTGCTCATTAGAAGACTGGCCAGAACAGGTCGCTGTTCTACACTTACAAGGAACCTTCATGGAACTCTCACTTGTGGAAATCTACACCTTCAGCGCCTACCTTTGGGCCCTGCTCTGGATGGTTCTGCACCCTTCCACCACCTTACCCCCACAACACCCCCGACCAGCAGGAAGTAGCCAGGAAGAGTAACGACGCCCCGCCCCATAAAAACAGAAAAGGTGGGAATGAAGGGTGCAGGAAGCGACCAGAGGGCGGCTCCCAAAATGGCACTGAGCATGGTGAGGACACACCAGACAACAAAGGCCCTAGGTCCCGGCTTCTATGAGCACAATTCCCCGCATGCGCGAATTTCAAACCTTCCCATGCGCGAATTTCAAACCTGCAAGCCTCCAATCCTTAGCCAGCTTTGTTATGCGCCCAATAGGGCTATAACACGGCATTGGCCCCACCCTACTCCCATGCAGCTCCTCCAACAGGAACATAGCACAGCCCCTTCCGGCCCCTGTCAGGCTAATAAGTACAGCCTTCTCCCCGCAACACTCTCTCTTTTTTTCTTTTTTCCCCATTACAGATCCTCTCTGTAACAGCCCCCTATAATAAATCTCTTGGTCCTGGCCGGGTGCGGAGTCATTACTGGCACCGAAATTCTTTTACCTGAGCCCGGCTATGTTATACTTTTTAATCCTAAAAGTTCAATTTAGTTGGTTATAATAGCTTTTATATCTCTACTTAACTTTTTAAATTTATAGAATACAGTTAAAATAACTTTTTAAAAAGTCCTTGTTAGCTAATTCTAAGAACATATTTGTCAGTTTTGAAACAGTTCCAATTGATTAATTTTTCTCCTCATTATGAGTCAGAGTTTCCTGTCTGTTTGCAGGTCTGGTAATCTTTGAGTGAATGCCAAAATTTTACTTTGTATTCCCATCAATATTTTTGAGTTTTGCTCTTGGATGCAGTTGTTTGGAAGCAGATTCTTTTGGCTCTTGATTTTATATTAGGTGGAAACAACGCTGCCTTTATTTTCTAGGCCGGGTTATTCCCCATTCCCAAAGCTAGACCCTTCTATGGATTCCCAATGTCCTGTGAACTGCGAGGTTTTTCACTACAATATTCATGAAGGTTATAAAATATGAGTTTTGAATATTCTAGCCAGCTTGAGAATTGTCAGCAGATACATGACAGAGACCATTCTATGGCAAGTCAGAGTGGGACACAAACAACAGCAGACATGGCAGAAGACGGACAAGAATGAAAAGAGTATGAATATAAGTGGGATGAAACCCACATCCTTCAGCCACCCTGACTAAAAAGTCTTCTCAGCTCCTTAGTGACAACATACTGAAAGCTGTTATCAGAATCACACCGCATGCCATTTGCTTGACACATATTTCTGGGTTTAAGTTTGGCCATAATAAGTGAATCACAAGTCTATGTTTATCTAATTTAATAAATTATTGTTTATCTATAAAGTTTTAAGTTAAAAGAGCCACTTCCTATTTCATGATTTGATAGCTGCCTGGACTGAGCAGCTATCAAATGATAGTGGTTATCAAAATTCTGATGCTGAGGGGGTAACTTGGTTCCTGAATACGGTGTGTTCCTTTTTCAGAATATTACCATGTTATTATCCATTCTACATTATTACCATGGGAGCAATTTAAGACTCCACTGCTGCATTTTCCATAAAAACACTCACTTCTGTTAAATTTAGAAAATATGTATGTCTTTAAATTTTATACCTTTTTCCATGAAAAAAAAGGTTGTAATATTTCCCTTCTATTTTTTTCACGGTTGTCTTTTTTCATACTGTCCAAGGAGGCCTGGTTTTTTGGGGGGCAGGTGGCCAAGTGAGTTGGAGCAGGGGGAGAAGTGTGTGAAAATGTTTATTTATAAAATCGAGAATGCCTGTGTGTTCACTTGGGGTCCAAAAGCGGTGGTTCCCACTCTGGATGTATACATGTTTAATGACTTGCCAAATGTGAATGAGTAGTAATAAAAGAACCATGCCTCTTCCTCCTCCTCTTCCTCTTCGTCAAGCTCCTCGTCCACTTCTGCCTCGGCCTGATAGTCTTCTGTTTCTTCATCATAATCTTCTACAGTTAATTCCAATGCAGTATACTGAAAAGGTTCTGTTAACAAAAAGGAATCATCGGGGAAGATATTTTTAGAATAAAAGGCTATTAACATGTTACAGTAGTTGAAGGTTAGCAAAATTAATTATATTATTGATCTCTTAGTCTAAATATGTATGTATACAAACACGCCTTGACAAATTCCTTTTGGAATGATTGGCTGGTATTTTATACATTATCCTTGGATGTACTGAGTTTTTGCTTCATGAACCATCAAGAAAGGCTTTAAAGTTTTAAAATGCTTTTAATATCGCGACTTGCTCTTGGTTATAAATGTTTTGGTTAAAGCCCTTACTTTCCATAGTCTCAACTACTTTTTGAAGTAGTTCCTCTGGAGTTCTGTTAGCAATCTCCAAATTTAAAATCTGAATGAAAGCCTCATTAAGTGTTGTTTCCAGCTGTTTCCAGATGACGCTAAAAGAATTAATCTTCTCTTTAAATGGCTCCATTTCAGGAACATCAGGATAAGAGTCTTCTGGAAAGTCAGGTAATATAACTTCTGAATAAAAGAAAAAAGAGGGTTTAAATATCATATCTTTAGCCATACTGCTAAAGTAATTCATACTTTATAATATTTTAAAAATATTTTAAAGAAATAAACTTAATATTCTATGCAACGGTATACATTTATAAATGCATATTATATAATTATGCCTTGTTCTTGCATTGGCTATAAATAATTACTTATCACGAAAACCCTGATTATTTGGTTAATTAATATGAGTTTCACATGGAAACTTTAACCGTAAATAAGATGTATTAAATAGAATTTGATGAAAATTGTTATATAATTTGGTTTGGCCTACTTTTATGGAATGAGTTAAACAAACATACTGCACATCAATTGACACACAACATTAAAAAATAAGTAGGAAGCATATAGTATGCTTAAAATAAGGGATGGGCCTTTTATGAACTAACTGCTTATTTTATTTTATAGTCTAACCTGTTTCAGGTAATTCTTCAGCTTCCAGGCCCTCTTTGGATCCTTTTGAGGTCTCTGTTTTGTTTTTTGTTTTTGTTTTTGTTTTTTGAGTTGGAGTCTCGCTCTGTTGCCCAGACTGGAGTGCAGTGGCCGCTCCCGGCCTCAGCCTCAACCTGCTGGGCTCCGGCGATCCTTCTGCCTCAGCCTTCCGAGTAGCCCGGAATTATAGGCACGCGCTACCACGCCTGGCTGATTTTTTGATTTATTTTAGAGATGAGTTCTTGCTGCCCAGGCGGGTCTTGAACCCGCGGGCTCAGGCAATCCACTCACCTCAGCCTCCCAAAGGCATGGGATTACAGGCTGAGCCACCGAGCCCGGCTGAGGTTTCTGTTTTAACTGTAGTACCTTTGACAGGCTCAGATGCTTAAGAAAGAAATCTAATAGGTAGTGTTCGAATTTTAAGACATGACTCCTTTATGAAAGCTTTGGTACAAAGAATATTTCCAAACATAGTTTAAGTTGGATATGATAAGTCTAAAAGAGAATACAGTTCTTGGCTGGGCATAGTGGCTCATGCCCACAATGCCAGAGTTTTGGGAGGCTGAGTGGGAGAATTGCTTGAGACCAGGCATATGGGATCAGCCTGGGCAACATAATGAGATCTCATCTTCACAAAAAATTTTTAAAAATTGTCAGGGCACGAGGGTGCCTGCCTGTAGTCCCAGCTTCTTGGAAGGCTGAGGTGGGAGGATTGCCTGAGCCCAGGAATTCGAGGTTGCAGTGGGCTATGATCGCATCACTGTACTTCAGCCAGGGCAACAGAGAGAGATCCTATCTCTAAAAATAAAAATTAAAAAAAAAAAAAATAAGTACAAAGAAAAAAGAAAATACAGTTCTTTTAGGTAAAGTATGACATAAAATATATAACAATATAAGGCAAAAAATGAAGATTATTATTAAAAACATAAAAGGACATTGACTAGAATAATAATTGACACATGGTACATACAATTCTGGCTGATAACCACAATTAAATATTATTCAAACTTCTTTTAGTAGCATGACTAGCAGTGCCTGGTATTTCTTTTTCTCTCTTTTTTTAAGTTGGAGACTCATTCTGTCACCGTAGGTTGGAGTGTAGTGGCATGCTCATGGCCACCGCACCCCTGACCTGCTGGGCTCGGGGGATCTTTCTACCTCAACCTTCTAAGTAGCTAGAACTACAGGTGCATGCCAGCTAATTTTTTATTTATTGCTGAGATAAGGCCTCACCAAGTTGCCCAGGCTGCGACAATCTTCTCAACTCCACCTCCCAAAGTGATGGGATTACAGGTATGAGCCACTGTACTGGCCTTGATATTTATTTTAATTTCTCATTAAAATACCCATGAAGATACACTGAAGACCACAAAGTGGCAACATGAGATGATGATATTGCAAAGTCCCAGCTGTGGGTGTAGTCATGAAGAAACTGAGGAGAATTCCAGCTAATTTCACTTTTTTTTTTTTTTTTTTTTGAGTAGGTGTCTCACTCTGTCGCTCAGGCTGGAGTGCAGTGGCATGCTCACGGCCACTGCAGCTTCAACCTGCTGGACTCAGGTGATCCTTCCACCTCAGTCTTCCAAGTAGCTGGAACCACAGCACGTGCCACCGTACCCAGCTAATTTTTAAATTTATTTTAGAGATGAGGTCTCACCAAGTTGCTCAGGTTGATCTCAAATCCCTGGACTCAGGCAATCCTTTCACCTCTGCCTCCCAAAGTGCTGGGATTACAGGTGTGAGCAACTGCACCCAGCCTAATTTCACTTTTGACGTTATAGATTGAAAATGATTTTCCTGGATAGTGTGAGATAAGTTTCACATACAGATTCAGCATAGATGGTTTTAGGGAGGGAAGGACTAATTATCTATCCTCTCACCCCACAGTCTGGATTTAGTGTTGAGATATGAGTTTTGCATAGACTGACTCTATCTCTCTCTATACATATATATATAGAGAGAGATGACAAATATATAATAATATATATATATATTTATATATCTCTGTAACAATGTGAACACAGTCTTCTGAAGTAGCTAAAATAATACTTGGGCCCTCTTTCAACCAGAATCTATCATATTTAATACTCAATTCATTTAATTGTAAGCTATTCAATTAAGAAGAGCATTATAAGCCATGACAAAGAGCAGAGAGGTATTGAGCATATACAGCTAATTTTACACTGCCTTAGCTTCTCTGGCTTAATCAGAGACTGCGGTAGTTGGGCATGAAGAAGTTCTAGCTTCAGTCTGGGAGAGCCATACAAGATGAATACTTATGAAATAGAACAAGTTGACCTAGGGTGACACACATAACCTACACCAGACATAACAGGTCAGTATCTGAAAGTGCCAGGCGAGAAGTTTAAGTGAAAGGTGTATGTGTGTGGGTGAGTGGGAGGGGAAGGGTTCTTATAAATGCTCCACCTCCCCCTCCTGTTGGTAAATGCAAAGTTTGGATACATTCTGCTTCATTCAAGGATCATTCCACAATAACCACAAAAATAAAACCAATGAAAACATGTTATAATGAAGAAAAGGAGTATTCATCCAAAGATTCAGAGGAAGCCTTTGCTTCCAAAGGCAATTTCTTACATAAAATGGAGTACGTTTTACAAGATATATGCTTGGCGTACTCAGGAAGCACAAGAGGACGCAGAGTCTATGAAATAGGAACCATGATGCATAAAGATAGACCAACCTAAAATAAAGGCAGAGATACAAGAAAGCTAGCTGGAACAGGAAAACACAAGGAAATCCAAAATGCAGCAGCAGAATTAAAACATGCATTAGGAGAGAGGCAATAAAGAGTAGAAATAAACCAGCAATGTGGAGGAAAACAAATCTCTGGGGAATACAGAGAAAAAGAACAAGATCAGGGAAAAGGTGAAAATAGCTGAGAAGCGGTAGTTATCTAAACAAAAATAATAAGGGATCCTATCTGAAGCAATGATCAAAGAAAACCATTTTGAGCTAGATAAAGAGTGTGGAAGGAAGACGAAAGGAGCTCAATGAAATCCAGGGAAAATTCCTCACATCTCAGCAAAGTGTTAACAAATAACAGTACTGCCAAACACTCTTTGAGCATCTCTGTGAGAAATATAAAATAAAAGAACATAATTGATGCAACATCTGACTTTCCTGTGTGTAGAAGACAATGCAGCAACATCAACATACAGAATTTTGAGAAAAGAAATTGTGAAGTTGTGACAATAACTTAATAACATCTAAGTTTTTTTTTTTTTTCATGTGTGAAAGCAATAGATTTGCAGAAAAACACAAAATATGCCACCCGGATGCTGTTATGGGTACGACCAGCTGAGGCTGGTGTAAAATAATTTACCATGACAGTTGTGAATTAAGAAATGCAGATTTATTACAGGCAGAATACAGAGATATGTTGCAAGGGAGAAACGGGCAGTCCAGCAAAGGAGAGGCTGTCTACTAAGAGGCAGGGACTGGAGGGAAGTTTTTTTTTTCCTTTTAATTTTTTTATAAAGATGTGGGGTACAATTCAGGGTTAGGTACACAAATGTTCGTGGCGCAGGTACCCTTGTTGATGAGGTGTGCACCCCGCTTCCCCAGGCAGATTCCCATTACTGCCAATCCCGCTTGCCCGCTCCCCTCCTGGCAGCTTCCTGCTACTGCCAATCCTTTTCTTATAGAATTATGATGATTGTTCAAGGTTGGAGGGAAATTTTATAGGGCTGTGCTGGGGGAGGCTACGTGCCCTACAAGGAGTCTGGAGAGGGGCTGTGCTGGACTGTTGATTGTGGTAATCTCTTTCTTAAGACAAGGCCAGCTGCTTTTGTGACAGTGGTTAACTGCTAACATTTACAGGGGTCAGCAAGCTTTTACTGTGGTCAGCACGTTTCTTGCAACATTTGCAAGTTTCACTGTGAGGCCCCTTTCCTCAGTATAATTTGTTGTTGACCTATTCAGGCCTCATATTTCTCCACAGATGCTTTAAAAGTCACTCAAAGATGTAGGCCAGATGACTAAAAGATATATCAAAATTAAAATCTTGAGAATGAAGAAACTGAGGAATTTGAGAGAAATCCCAATGGAATTATTAACATTCCTAATACCATAAAGCTGCAGAAATCACACCCGGTTCTAATGCACTAGACAGGAGTAGGGCCACACCAGTGGGCATTCAACAAGGTGGAGATGTCGAACCTCTTTTCAAAATGATATCTGGAGAAAGTTTATGAACAAATAATTTCAGTTGAAATAGTTATTGTTTATAAGAATAACTCTATCACAGAACTTAAAAAAATACGACAGAGGAAAACTTTCTCTCAGGCTGAAATCTAGTTAGATCACAGTTACATTAAAAAAAAAACAACACCTTGTTAAGAAAAACTAAAAGGAAATACATAGAATGTTAAATATTATTGCTTTTTGCTAGTGGAACCATGGTGATCCCGACCATGCTTCTATTTATATGAAATCGACATTACCTATAGTTAGCATGTATTCTATCAAACCTGGATGGATGTCTGAATGATTTTGAAACACTCAGTTCAACATCAGTGATATCAGAACTATGATTACTGTATTTGACAGATATTTTCCAAATTTTAAGTTGCCCAAAGTTTAGTCAGTAGATTAATTCATTGCAACCTATAGATATACTGGGCAACTAACTGTTATTCTAGAGTTGATATTTTCAGGATCAGATTTTTCTCAAATGTAAACTGCTTTTTGTATGATATAGGGGCTAATTGATAAGACTTTTTTAAGGCAAATTTTCCCCCACAGTAGTAGTTCAACCGTTAGCATGTGTAAGAACCACCTGGAGTGTTCGTTAAAAGATTCTAAACTCCATCATAGATTTATGGAACCAGAACCTGCACAGAACTCAGGTTCTGTGATTTATTAAGAACTCTAGGTGATTCTTAGGCAGGTCTACCACATATACATGAAAAAAAAATTCTCTCTCTCTCTTCCTTTTTAAATAAAGATGAGGTCTCACTATGTTGCCCAGGCTAGTCTTGAACTCCTGGGCTCAAGCAATTCCCCTGCCTTGGCTTCCCAAAATGCTGGAATTATAGGTGTGAGCCACCATGTCCAGCCTACTTATCTTTTATGTGAAACTCTAAAGTTTCAGCTGAGCATTTATTTAAGAATTGGAGCAGATTGTCACTTATTTCGAGTAAAGCCTTGAACTTGCCCCTAGGCATTGCTGCAACCTGCAGCCTTGCAAAGACAATGTGGGAGACATTGCAGGATGGCTCCCTCAGGCCCCTTTCATCCTACTATTCCCTTGGCTTCTACTATCCAGGCAATGAAGTCAGAGCAAATTCCCAGATTCCCCACGGATAGGTGTAGCCAGTGACACAATTCTGCTCAACGAAATGTAGGTGAAAGTCCCTATGGACTATTTCCCTATGGACTATTTCTATGGACGTTTTATTTAAAATAAAACGTAAAAGCTTGCAAGGGTAGAGCTGTACCCTTAACGCTTTGCCATTTCCACTTCTTCAAGCCTGCGATGCAGAGAGGCAGCTGCCACCTTTTGATTGTGAGGATGGGCAGATAGGAAGAAGGGAGTTCCCTGGGACTTTGCCTATATCTGTAAGCTACCAAGCCAGTCCTAAACTCTTAGATGAGACAGATCCCTTAGGGTAGTATTATTGGCATTTCTGTTATTTGTCATCAAATGTAGCCACAGAGGTTACAGATGCAATGGCCCTTCCTTTAAAGCAAAGTCAGCAGCTATGCTTTTTTTTTTTTTGAGTCAGAGTCTTACTCTGTTGAGTCTTACTCTGTCATCCAGGCTGGAGTGCAGTGGCATGATCACAACTCATTGCAGCCTTGGTCTGCTGTGCTCAGGCGATCCTTATGCCTCAGTCTTCCAAGTAGCTGGAACTACAGGCACTTGCCACCACGCCTGGCTGATTTTTTGATTTATTGTAGAGATGAGATCTCACTATATTGCCCAGGCTAGTCTCAAACTCCTAGGTTCAGGTAATCCTCATCTCAAAGCACTGGGATTACAGCCACCATGCCTGGTCAATGCTTCTTAATTTAAAAAGTCAACCCTGCCACTTAGTTGCTTGATAATTAAAACACATGATTATCTCTTAATTGACAACATTGAACACCAGTGCTGCAAGGTTTATCAGAGGGTAAACCTTTAATTGTTTGCTGCTTAAATCTGGTCAGATGTCTGGCTACTAGGGTGGCAGGAAGGGACTTGCAAAATGTTCAGTACATGCCCACTTCAGGCAGCCCAGGGAGGTTCTGACAATTCAGCATGATAAGGTCAGGCTTTACCTGAGATCATGTGATCAGACCATGACACTGGTTTGTTACCAGTCACTTAAGACCCACTGGTCTCAGAGACACACTGTCCATGCAGAAGGCATTAGGAGTGCTCTCTTTATATATCAAAAACATCTGCTGTTTTTGTTCCTTTTCTTAGAATTATACTCCCTATAATGGCTTGAATTGTGTCCCCTCCAAAAAAACACGTTTATGTCCTGACCTCCCAGTGCCTGTGAATGTGACCTTATTTGCAAATAAGGCCTTTGCAGATGCAAGTAGTATAAAGGACCTTTAGATGAAAGTGTCCTGGCTTTAGGGTGGGCCCTAAGTCTAACGACTGGTTTCCTCATAAGAGGAGGAAGACCCACAGAGACACACACAGAGAAGTCTGCAGTGCAGAGACAGAGGCAGACATTGTAGTAACGTCCACCATGAGCACAGAACTCCAATGGACCTGTGATGTGTAGGACTAAGTATGTCTGAGTGGGCAGAGGGGATCGACCCTGAGACAGCCTGCTTCCCCTTTGAACTAAATGCACTGATAGCCCTGACACACTGATAGCCCTGAGAGATCATGCTTCCCCTTTGAACTAGAACTTGCTTCTGATGCAGACAGTAAGCAACAGCATTCAAAGAAGCACAAACGACCAAGGAATCCCATCACATCCTTTCTTGTTGATGTTACTGTCCTGTGTTAGTCAACTGCTTCTGCTGACAGGGCATAGAAGAAAAGGAAAAGATGGGGCAGCCCAGAGCTTCTTTGCCTCTTGGTCCTTCCTTAATAATCAGTCAGCAAAAAATAGAACGTGCTGGAGAGAATGTGTATGTTCAGAAGCTAAATAAAATGCTGAGTTAGTTTTGTGCAGCAAAACAAATGTAATATTCTTTTTTTAAGATTAGAACATATAGTTTATTGAGAGAGAGAGAGAGAGAGAGAGAGAGAGAGAGAGAGAGAGAGAGAGAGAGAGAGGAGAGTCACCTCCTCAAGGTAGGGGAGGGGGCCAAAGCCAGGAAACATGGCCACACCATAGCTTAGCAAGGCAATGGCCCGAATGTAATATTCTGATAAGAATGAAAGACATACACACTTAAAAGCCATGAAATAAGAACTGTGTAATTTGCGTGATTCTGCACACGAGTTAAATGCTCTTTATATCAGGATTTTAAAATGGCACTGCATAACGTAAAGATGAACTGTAAAATTTATGCTCATAATTTACAATTTTAAATTTTCTTTACTGAGAATGACATTAAATAGCAAACAAAAAACACCATGGCAAGCTGTGTGTGTGTGTGTGTGTGTGAGAGAGAGAGAGAGACAGACAGACAGACAGACACACAACATGGAAAAAAGAAAAAAAGTTTTATACTTGAATACATTTAATGGCACCTTTTTCCTGCTTTTTGAACAATGTATCCCACATATTATGGCTCCTGAGTGCCCGTCCTGGGACAGAGGGAACACTGCCTTCCTGTCGCACCCGAAACCATGGGATGTGGACAGAATGCTGCTCTCTGAGGGCTCATCTCTCCATTCTCAGTCAGTTTCCATTTTACACATACACACACACACACACACACACACACACACACACACACACGACTAGAACCAAAGACTTGGCCCTCAATAAAGTCCCACCTGACTCAAGTTCTGCATCAGGGACCTCATTCGTTTGGTATCCGCCGGCCAATAATGACCCTCTGGTCTCCTTGGGTACCTCTGGTGCCTCAGACTCTTCGTGAACTTCAGCCTCCTCACCTTCAAGCTCCTCTTCAGTCTCATTATCAGTCTCTTCGGCTGCTAGGGAAAATGAGGAAATCATTCGGTTTAAACCAATGAATATTTATTGAATGCCAGTAAGTGTCAAAGCCAAAACAAAGAATAAGGAAGAGTCCCTGCCCTCCTGGTTTAATGAGCAAAATGGATAAATTATCTGTATATTGCATTTATTAGAATGTAGTGGAAAAGGATGATAGTCGTCTGCTCAGAATGGTGTGTTTGTACCAGCCTAAGGGCTCATTCAGAAGAGGATAATCTTCCAAATATTCTAACAGTGAAGACCTAGAAACAGCCCAATGTCCATTTAATAAGGGAATGGTGAGGTCTGCACTGTCCAATATGGTAACCGCCAGCCACATGTGGCAATTGGACGTGTGAAATGAGGTCCTTATTGAGGTATGCTGTGAATATAAAATATACAGTGAAAGTGAAGTTCAAAAATTTAGTATGAAAAATTGAATGTAATTTATGTGACTGATAGACAATTTACATATGTAGCTTACCTTATATTTCTATTGGGTAGTACCAGGCTAGACGAGAGATATAAAATGATTGGTTTTCTTATAACTAATTAAAAGTAATAAAGGGTGTAATATGTTAATCCATATGTTAAATCCATATGTTAAATTCCAAAAGAATAATTCCAAGCTTTATGGAGGGGTTGATGACACTATAGTGCATATACACATGCAAGTCTTTTAGGAAGAAGACGGCATGAACAAAGGTGTCAAAACTTATTTCCCCAAGTCCCCTTTATAAACTTATGACATTGACATAATATACTTATGAAAATGAAAAACAAAGTCCTTTCTTTGCAAAGATGATATGAAAAAATAAATGAGCTTGTTTTCTGGACTCTTATGGGAATTTCTTCCCCCGGGGAGTACCTCCAAAAACCATTTTCTAGAGGTGTGATATGCTTCTGGCATCTCAATTTTTTTCGCCAGTCAGATTCTCACTCTGTCGCCCAGCTGGAGTGCAGTGGCACACTCATGGCCACTGCAGCCTCCACCTGCTGGACTCAGGAGATCCTTCTACTTTAGTCTTCCAAGTAGCTGTAATCACAGGTATGCGCCACCATGCCTGGCTAATTTTTTGATTTATTGTAGAGATGGGGTCTCGCCAAGTTCCCCAGGCTTGTATCGAACCCGTGGGTTCAGGCAATCCTTTCACTTCAGACTCCCAAAGTGCTGGGATTACAGGCGTGAGCCACCACATCTGGTTGTATCTGAATTTTCATCTAAATCTGGATGATTAAGAACCCAGAGAAAAGTATTAGGAGGTTGCCTTATACCAGGACCACAGTGCATGTGGCTTCCAAGTATGTAACTCGGAAGGTGAATCTTTCTGTGCTGAGTGGAAGATTTTATGGTATTACACAACAGGGTGAAGTAACATTTGCTGAATCCTATTGTGGCCTGGGATGAAGTTATTTCTTTCAACTGCATTTTTTTACAGTAAAAAATGTATAATATACCTCCAAAATGTGTATGCTTATCCATTTATGGGTTGTATTCTTATCTGTATTAGGTATATTATAAAACATAAATATAAAAATTTAAGGACTGGGTATAGTGGCTCATGCCTATAATCCCAGCACTTTGGGAGGCTGAGGCAGGAGGATCGCTTGAACCCAGGAGTTCATGAATAGCCTGGGCAACATAGAGAGATTGCGTCTCTATTAAAACAAAAAACTAATAATTAAGACTGTAGTGGTTCACATCTGTAATTCTAGTGCTTTGGGAGGCCAAGGCAGGAGGATAGCTTGAGGCCAGGAGTCCAAGACCAGCCTGAGCAACAGACTGAGACTCTGTCTTTAAAAAACAAACAAACAAACAAAAAAAAACAGGCATGGTGGCATGGTGTGTACCTCTAGTTTCAGTTACTCGGGAGGATGAGGTGGGAGGATTGCTTGAGTTCAGGAATTTGAGGCTACAGTGAGCTATGATCACACCACTGCACTCAAGTCTGGATGACAGAGAGAGACCCTGTTTCTAAACAAAAAACAAAAATTATATAATAATGCAGAAAAATGTAAAAAGTTCGAATCCTTTTTTTTCTAGAGGCCTAATGAATAATATGTGTGCCATATAAGTCGGGAATGTATTACAAAGTATTCTATAATCCTTGAACTGTCTGGGATTTTGTTAATTACGTGCTATATTAGTTACCTACTGATTCATAATAAACTACTCCAAAACGTAGGGGTTAAAACAATCATAATCACTTATTAGCCTTGCGGCTTCTGTGGGTCAGGAATTTGGGAGTGACTGAGCGGGATGGTTCTGGTTGAATTTCCCATGAAGTTGTAGTGAAGACATGGCTTGAGGCCGCAGTCATCTGAAATCTGAAGGCTTGACTGGGCAGGAGGATCCACTTCTAAGGGAGATCACTCCAAGCCAGAACTGAGATGCCCAGGAGCAGAGATAAGCTGTTCCCATTGTGCACTGCCCAAAGTCCTGATCCACAGACTTGTACAAGGTTGACAATCAGATTCGTGAGCCATCCTAGAAAAAGTGCTACAGACTTCACTGCTGAATTATCACTACAGTCATCTTTGAAGTACTCTCCTTGGGAAACTATGCACCGATGCCAGTGCCTAGTCCACCCATCAATGCAGTTTTGGAACTCTTTTTCTGGACTAGCCATCAGAGCTGTCGTTATTTGTTGAGGTGTGACCATTAAGTTCGTGAACTTGTCACTGTGCGCTTACATTGGCAGCACTGTACAAATCACTGTCTTCGAACACCCTCTCTACTCACCTGATCTGGCCCCCAATGACTTTTTTCTTTACCAAAAGCTAAAGGAAATATTGGAAGAAAGATATTTGATGACATTCAGGACATCAAAGGTAATATGACGACAGCTCTGAGGGCCATTCCTGAAAAAGAGCTCCAAATTTGCTTTGATGATGGGTAGACTAGGCGCTGGTGTCAGTGCATAGCTTCCCAAGGGGAGTACTTTGAAGGTGACCATAGTGGTATTCAGCAATGAGGTACGTAGCACTTTTTCTAGGAAGAGTTCGTGTACTTAATCATTGGATCTCGATGTGTAATAAAACTGGCGACTGTTTTATACCATGAAGCTTTGGGGTGACTTGTTGCACAGCAGTGGAAAAATGAAACAGACACACTGCGCTCTTTGAGCCATAGACCCTTGGCAGTCTAGTGAAATCTTTGAGCCTTTTCTAAGAATAATGCCTTTGATCCATAAATTAAAATACATAAGAAACCAATTACATTGAAGTACAGTTACCAAGGTATTAAAAAATTGTATGCTATAGTAAAAGCACCTCTTTACTAATGTAATATAGGACAAAAATAGTTTAATAACTGCCACAATTTTGGAACAGTGATAAGTATAAACAAGATATGTAAAATCGTAATGTGATATTAAAATATATATATTATATATGTGTATATATATGCATATTATATGTGTGTGTGTATATATATATGTATATGTATAAAAGTATATATATATATATACTTTTTTGAGTCAGAGTCTGACTCTGTCGCCTAGGCTGGAGTGCCGTGGCACGCTCACAGCCACCACAGCCTCCACCTGCTGGAATCAGGTAATCCTTCCACTTCAACCTTCCAAGTAGTTGGAACCACAGGTGCGTGCTACCATGCCTGGCTAATTTTTTTTATTTATTGTAGAGATGAGGTCTCACTAAGTTGCCCAGGCTGGTCTCGAACCCCTGGGCTCAGGCAATCCTCTCTCCTCAGCCTCCCCAAATGCTGGGATTACAGGCCACTGAGTCCGTCATATTTTCATTTCTATTGATGACAATGTAAGGATATTGCTAATACTACTGTGGTGTGTTGCCTACATTAATCACCTGTTAAAGGAAATACTAAATTTCAGTTAAAGCTAGTGACAATAAATTCACAATTAGTTTCCCATGAAGTTCCCAGACTCCTGACTTTTATCCATAGACCCCAGGTCAAAACTTCCAGTCTTGAAAGAAACTGTGAGAGTGAATTCTTCTATAATGGAGATGGAAGTTTCAGTGCAGGAACAATGGGTGTGGAGTAAGAATTAGGCTCTTTTTTCAACTCTTGTAGGATCCTTCAACAGACGTGTAGGTATCTGTGTCAAGAGACTTTTTCCTACAAACCCATTACTCCAGTGACCATATAGTTTAATATCTGAATTAGAACCCTTTGAGATTAAAAGGGGAACTATAAAGACTTCAAGATCACAGGCATAAAACTAGGCTGTCATGGAAAAATTGGGCATGTGGTCACCCCATCTACAATTCACTTGAAATACTGCAATTGCTTGCAGGAACAACGCAGTGACACATCGTTATTCATATTAATCTGTGTTTGCCTTTTCTTTTCACGTCCATAGCTTCCAGCCGTCTTTTATTTTCTTCTTCTTGTCTCAATGCCTCTTCTGCGGCTTTTCTGAAATGAAAAGGTTCAAAATTTAAGTATCTTTGGAAATTCAGACATCTCACAAATTATAGATTAAATGCTTAGCATGGTAAAAATAAAGAGTACATTGTTTACAATATTTATTATAGTTTCTATTTCATTTTATTTTTTGAGTTGGGGGGGTCTCACTCTGTCACCCAGGCTGGAGTGCAGTGGCATGATCACGGCTCACCACAGCCTCGACCTCCTGAGCTCAGACGATCCTTCCGTCTCGGCCTCTGGAGTAGCTGGGACTACAGGCAGGCACCACCATACCCAGATCAATTTTGAAAATTTTATTTTTGGAGAGATGAAATCTTGCTATGTTGCCTAGGTTGGTCTCAAGCTCCTGGGCTCAAATGATCCTCCCGGTTTAGCTTCCCCAAGTGCTAGGATTACTGGCATGAGCCATCACACCCTAGCCTATATACTGTAAAAGTTAACAGCATAAATTTTTAAATTACTTATGTTGATTTTTCTGTTTTTTGGTTTTGTTTTTTGGTAAGAAGGACTGGAATGTTATTCTTTAAAACACGTTGGCTATATTACCTATGTAAGTTTGGAGGTACCGGAGGGTGGGGCAGGCCTCAATAAGATGGCTCCAACCCGGACCAGGAGAATAATGGGCGAGAGTGAGCCAGCAAAAATGAGTAACTAGAACTAAGACTTTAGCTGTAAAGCCAGCCAGTACCTGTTACAGCGACTCTAGCAACCCCGTTCAGCCAGTCACCAGCAGACGTGACAGCTGTCCCAACCAGTGATTGCTCTCCCTGACCCCCTCACAGTTTTCTCAGTGTGCCCTTTATAAACCTGTCGCCCATCTTGCTGGGCGCAACTTCTCCAGCCCACAGCTACATGGACCAGTGAACCTTGCCTGGGATTGCGCTAATAAATTTTTCTTGGCTCCTTTTGTTGCCGTTTCACCTGGTCTGGTTTCGTTTACCTTACAACCTAACCCTGAATTGTACCCAAATCTTTAAAGTTTAAAAAAAACAAAATGAAACCAAAAAAACTTTGGCTATTAATTAGGAAACCTGTGAGAATTCATAAATGATGACCTAACTCTATGTTGAAAATGCAAATAGAAAGATTAAGGGGAAAATGTGTTCACAATTTAATGTTACATGAAAAAGTTTAATATAAAGCTATATGTACAATATGCTTCTAATTTTGAATTTAAAATGTGTACAAGTGAGGATTAAAAGAAAACCTATCAAATTGTCAACAGTAATTATCTCTGGATGATGGCATATGAGAGTTTAACATTTTCTTTAGCTTTTTTTGTATTTAAATTTTATTTATTGAATAAGTAGAAGATTTGTAAATTTATCTTTATAATTTAAAAAATGTAATATTTTTTTCTTAGCACAGTAATGATAAAATTTAAAGAGATTTGAAATATGGAAACTTAAATATCTTGAGGGAATCTGGTTTCCTGAGAGTTGAAGCACCAAACTTACCTTAACAAAGGTGAAGGAAGTAAAGGAAAAGTCAATAAAATGAGGGAGAGCCGGGCTCGGTAGCTCAGTCTGTAATCCCGTGCCTTTGGGAGGCTGAGGTGAGTGGATTGCCAGAGCCCGCGGGTTCGAGACCCGCCTGGGCAGCGAGACCTCATCTCTACAATAAATCAAAAAATCAGCCGGGCGTGGTAGCACGTGCCTGTAATTTCGGCTACTCGGAAGGCTGAGGCGGAAGGATCGCCGGAGCCCAGCAGGTCGAGGCTGCAGTGGCCGGGAGTGGCCACTGCACTCCAGTCTGGGCGACAGAGTGAGACTCCAACTTAAAAAAAAAAAAAATGATGGAGAAAGACAATATTTATTAAAAATTGAAATAAATATACCTTTGACCTAGAAATTTTATGTCTAGGAATTTAGCCCTCAGAAACAGGCATTCATTCTACTGCACAAAGAAACATATATTAGAATGTTCAGCCTAGGCAACATAGCGAGACCTTGTCTCTACAAAAAAAAAAAAAAAATCTAGCCTGGTGGCATGTGCCTGTAGTTCCAATTACTCAGGAGGCTAAGTAGGAAGATAGCTTGAGGTCAGGAAATTGAGGCTGCGGTGAGCTGGGATTATGTCACTGTACTCCAACCTCAGCGACAGAGTGAGACTGACTCAAAAAAAAAAAAAAAAGGAAGAGAAAAGAAAAAAAAAAAGAATGTTAACTGCATCTTTAAAAAATAACAACAAATGCGATATTGCATATTCACCAACAGGGACTAGTTAGGTAAAGACGAGTCCATTCATATCAGCAGCATAGGCTGGAGCCATGCTTTCCTCAGACCTGTCATTTTCTCGTAGTCACGTTCTTTGTGTCCATTTTCCCATTCTTTGAAAGCTAGTTGCATATATTCTCTCCAGAAGACATCTCTCTACCTCTTTACCCAACAGGTCTACTTCCTATTGGTAGCAGGTATTCTCATTGTGTTCCAAGTCCTGTGTTCCCACCTGAAGTCTTGGTGCAATTCAAGTTCTCTTTGTTCATGACTCAGACCTCTGAGACTCCTGAATACTGTTTCTCGATTTCTTTCCCATTTTGATTGGTGTAAACAGGCATATTTCACTTTATTGCACTTGACAGATACTGCTTTTTTTTTTTAAACCAATTAAAGGTTTGTGGCAACCCTGCATTGAGCAAGTAGTTCATCGGTACTATTTTTTCAACAGCGTGGCACATGTCTCTGTGCCACGTTCTGGTAATTCCAGCAATATTTCAGACTTTTTCATCATTATTATATTCATTATGGTGATCTCTGATTCATGATCTTTGATGTTATAATACTATTGTCCTTGTCTGGGTTGCCATAAACTGTACCCATATAAGATGGCTGGCTTCACTGATACATGTGTGTTCTGACTGCTCCATGAACCAGTCATTTCCTCATTTCTCTTCCTCTCCTCAGACCTCCCTATTCCCTGAGAAACAGCAATATTGAAAAGAGGCCCATTAATAACTCTACAATGGCCTTTAAGTGTTCAAATGAAAGGAAGAGTTGCTTGTCTCTCACTTTAAATCAAAAGCTAGAATTAATTATGCTTAGGGAGGAAGGTATATCAAAGGCCAAGATAGACCAAAAGCTAGCCCTCTCATTCCAGACAGCCATTGACATTCATTGTGAATGTCAATGAAAAGTTCTTGAAGGAAATTAAAAGTACTCCAGGAAGCACACTAAGGATGCAAAATTGAAACAGACAGTGTTGATAAGGAGGAAGTTTGAGTGGTCTGGACAGAAGATTAAACTAGAACATTCCTTTAGCCAAAGCCTAATCCAGAGGAAGGTCCCAACTCTCTCTCTCTTCAATTCTGTGAAGGCTGAGAGAGGTGAGGAAGCTGCAGAAGATAAGTTTAAAGCTCTCAGAGGTTCATGAAGTTTAAGGAAAGAAGCCATCTCCGTGACATAAACATGCAAGGTAAAGCAGCAAGTGCTGATGAAGAAGCTGCAGTAAGTTCTCCAGAAGATCTAGCTGGGATCGTTGATAAAGGCTATATAATAAACAGCATATTTTTCAAAGTATACGAAACAGCCTACTATTGCAAGAAGATACCATCTAGGACTTTCATAGCTAGAGAGAAGTAAATATCTGACTTTGAAGCATCAAAGGCTGATTTTCTTGTTAGGGGCTTATGCAGCTAGTCACCTGAAGTTGAAGCCAATGCTCAATTACCATTCCAGAAATCTTGGGTCTCTTAAGAAGTATGCTAAATCTATTCCATCTATACTCTATCAATGGAGCAACCAAGACTGGAAGACTGCACAGTTTTTTTACAGCATGGTTTACTGAACATTTTAAGTCTGCTGTTGAGACCTACTGCTCAGAAAAAAAAAATTTTTTTTCAAAATATTACTGCTCACTGACAATGCTAGTCACCCAGAAGATCTGATGGATGTGTGCAAGGAGATTAATGTTGTTTTCATGCCTGTTAACATCATATCCATACTGTATGAATCAGAAAGTAATTTCAGCTACAAGTCTTAGTATTTGAAAAACACATTTCATAAGACTCTAGTTGCCATAGATAGTAGTTCCTGTGATGGATCTGGGTGAGTTAAGCTGAAGACCTTCTGAAAAGGATTAGCCATTCCAGATGCCATTAAGAACGCTCACGATTTAGGAAAGGATGTCAAAATGTCAACATTAACAGAATTTGGGATAAGTTGATTCCTACCCTCATGGATAACTTTGCGGGGGGTTTGAGACTTCAGGGGAGGAAGTCCCTGCAGATGTGGTGGACATAGCAAAAGAACTAGACTTACAAGTAGAGCCTGAAGATGTGACTAAATGACTGCAATCTCATAATAAAATATGAATGAATGAGGAATTAGTTCTTATGAATGAGCAAAGAAACGGTTTCTTTTTTTTTTTTTTTCTTTTGAGTTGGA